TTTTCCTCCTTGAGTATATGGAAAAAACAAATCATCTTTGCACAGAAGGCCAGGAGTAGCAATTCCATTAAGATATCACATTTTTTTAAAGCTCTGGTCCCATTTTGTCTATTTCAAGCTCCATTTTGCTCATATTGTAACAGAGAACATAAGAGAACAGAGTGGGAGGAAGAATATGAGCAGTATTTCCTTAGAACTTTAGGTACATTTTTCTTTCCAGTTTTATCTGAGCATGCAGGCGAACTCTTCTTAATGAGGGACTTCAACTCCTCTGCCTTTTAGAAGTGTCACTAGTGTGCCCTGGGACAACAGTCTCTGATTTTAGCTTTTAAATATACTCATGATACAGAGTATTTTTCTTCTTAGTGCTATGCATTGTTTTACCTGCCTTAGTGGGAATTATGGGTTTGATTTGTGGGCTGAAAGGTTTGGTCCTTTTTAGATTCTTTATGTCTATTTCTTTCTAATGCACAACACATTCGACAGTCTCTGAATACTCAAGAATCATGACTGCAAGCAGAGTTTAAAATAGGGGTAAAATTAAAGTGAATCCATGATCCTGGCATTCCTGAGGACCATTTACATTATTCATACATACATGTATATGTTCAATCATATATTCATTTATTCATTCCACAGACTATTCAGCAGCAGTCATAATGTTGGGTATTGGAAAGAGTCTTTGGTGCTTTTAGATTCTACTAAACCAAAATGAGATGGTGGCCAAACATTTAGCTCTACTTTAAACTGTGTTCATGAATATGACAATGGAAATTAGAAAGTAACTATATCAGGGCTTGTTTACTGTTTTAATTTTGGTCACTGTGTTAATTAAATAGATAATCAGGAGACACCTGTGTTCAATGGATTACTACAAATGCATGACACATGCTTCTGATGAAACAAACTACCAATCTTGGAATCCACAGGTGCTACCAAAAACCAAAAAAACAAAAACCCACAAATAACCAGGCAACTAACCCTATGATCATCCCTGGGAGTGCACAGCTTTGAGTCAAACGTGCATATTTTTCACACTAAGTAGTTCTTAAAGGTGAAGTAATGCTCATAGGTTTGCTAAAAGACTCAAGGAAGAAGGATTATCTAAAAACACAAAGTATTGGGTGTGGGAAGTAAAATTGAAACACAAGATGTCAGTGAGAGTTTCTACTTGATTGATCTAACAAATAAAAATGTGCTATGTTGGCATGTTCACATTCTCATGTGCACGTACCAAAGCAGACAAGTATGTGAATTTCTTTTACCCTCGGGATGAGCAAATAAAATAATATTCAGCAATAGAATGGCTCTAACAGCAACTCTAAGGAAAATAGTGTTTTTTCTTCCATTTGGGCAAAACATGAATAAGTTCGCTAAAATACACTGGAAATTATTCCTGACTCATTCATATACGATCTGTGTGGTCCAAAAATAAAGACTACTGCTAAGAAGTCTATAACAAGATAGGGTATGAAGCAATGGTAACAGATTATATGCTTTCATGGTTCCAAACACCAACTCAGCCTATTCTGCCTAGTAAACATGAAAAGATAGGCACAAAAAATCTTAAAGTATAATTTTCTCACTAGCCCTCCAGTCCGGAATTTTAAAATTCCATTTGATGAAACCCAAGTACTGGTGATAAATGTGTGTATTCACTCTAAAATATAACCTAAGTATGAACTAACCTTTCATACTTATTGATGGCATATGAAGCACATAACAGCACTATAAAATATTCTGCTTAATCATACATACTCGTAGGTACATGCACCCAAGCTCATGCTCACTTCCCTCCCACCAATATCTCATCTGATTCTTAATATAAAAGAATTAGAGCACAAATCATGGTGAGTGTTAAGTTGATTACAAAGCAAAACTTGAGGTAATGCAACCAGGAAATATGTAAATATACTTCATAGTAACTATTATGTCATTCACATTTTGCCTAAAGGGGAAGCCATTTTCATATCAACTCCAATCAGGAAGTTATTCTTCATGCCAAAAGAACATGTTTTATATAAGCTGGCTAGAACATACAGCGCTCAGTTTCCAGAGCACTAGAACGGAGGGGTTTATCACATACTGAAACACGAGCAATATCTGTGATGAGAAGTATTTCCTGGAAAAGAATTTTATCAGATGGCCCTATAAGAGAAAAATGCCAACCAAAAAATATTATCAGCAATGGACTTTAAGTGGAGACAAAAGCTGAGCGTTGTAATTTTGTAGGAATAGTAAGGCATGGTCTGATAGCGGGCATCAGTACGTTACTGTAAAGAGCAAGAATAGCGTGAGGCCACACAAGAAGGGATAGACAGATACTGGAACAGTGGCTCCAATTTTCACCCCTGCCTTCATCATCACTCTATACTATGCCAACTTTCCTTCCTTCCTTTCTAGTTCCTTCCCTAAAAGGAGGCAAAAGATATTTCCTCACTATTCTTTTTTATTTCTGCTGTTGCTAAGAGAAGTCTTTTCTCAGGCTAAACACTGACTCTGACTGGAGAATAACAGATAATGTGAACCTGTGTCCACTTAGCGCAGCCACTGGCAGCCAAAGTCCTACCCACCCTCAGTCAGAGAGAATGAGTGCTGATTTTGTACACCACTAAAACGTCTGTGGTTACTTTTTATGCAGCTATAGTTAACTGATAGAGAGACAGCAATTATCTTTAAGTATATGATGAAGTTTCCCTTCTTTATGGGAAATGAGAAAGTACTAGAAGAGATTCAGATTAAAAAATAAGAAAGATTAGTATTATGAGCACCTTATTTTTATTATTGTTCAAGTACAATTGTCTCCATTTTCACCCCACCATGGCCTCCCATCCCACCCACCCCTGCTTCCCATTTTTTAAGAGTTTCAAAAATGAGAACAATAAATACTGGAGCTCAGTTAGCTGTTAGAAGAAACAAACCAAATAATCTTGGTTCCCTCATATGCATTTGATCCCAGACATAAAAATCACAGAATAAGCCTCCATATTATTAAAAAAGAGGCAGTTTCTGAAAATAGACAAGAAGTGTTTTCTTTATGCTAACTTACTCTATCATGATACAGAAAATCAATCTAGTACTTTTGATAAGACATATGGTTTATCTTGGTCTCTATTTACTTGCATCTAGTTTCTCAGAACAAGCATTCTCTTGAGAAATTAAGTAATAGAAACATTTCAAAACTAAAAAAAATCTTTTAAACTAAACTTGAGTTAAATTAAAAGTTTTTATTTTAGTAAATTATAAGTGGATGATGATGACCAAGAAATTTCCAGAAAATCTTGAGCAGATGAATTTGCTTCTATTTGCAAATATTGAGTATAGCCACCATTGTTCTTACTCTAGATTCAGAAAGATATATGTTTAGATTCCAGTTCTAACCACTTATGAGCTATCTGACCTTTGATAGAAAGTTAGTTCCTAAGCCCCAGTTACCAATGAAGTAAGAAAATTATACATATAGTAAGTGCTTGACAATTAGCAGCCACTATCACCATCACCGTCAATACCATTGTCCTTATCAAAATTTTCATCATCATCAAAATCATTGTCACGAAAAGTTTTGGGAAAGAGAGGATATGATCCAAGCTGTGCCTTAGGAGATTAGTTTAGCAAGAATACACAAAATGAATCAGAAAATGCAAGTGAACTAATAATTTTATTTGGAATATCTCTATCTTTTTGTCCCCCTCCTCTGGGATATTCCTCATATACACGCACCAGAGTTGGAATAGAAAACTGAATACTAAACCACAAGTAAGGCAATGCTGGCATTTCTGCCCCACGTGAGTTACATACAGCCAGAGATCCAGACAGAAATATTCCCCATCACCAGTTTGCCCAGAGGCTCAGGACTAATGGTCAGACAGACTCCAGGTTTGTGCCTAGAAATCTCTTCACCCTCAGCACTCACTTGTGATGCTACAACATGTCTCTTTGCTGCCTACACAGCTGACCATCTGTTAGAATGGCATAGTGCCAGCTTACGGGAGAGCTTGCTGGCTCTACTGCAGCTCAGGGGCCAAGAGATGGTTTTCCACAAGAAGCACTTATAAATCTTACAAGTGAACCTAGAGAGAGCTCCTGGTTCCTCTTCTTCTCCCCACACAGCAATGCTCATGGAGATTTTTGCTTCACATTTATTTCACCTGTTGATTTAAGTAGTTGGGTCTCCAATCTAAATCTTGAAATCTGGAGAGGAATAAACATGAACCATGTGCAGATAGATACCTGTGGCTGCCAAACAGACAGGTGCTGTTATTGCCTGCTTGTTGGCAGGGATAATGGGAAGCAGCAGGGTTTCCATCAATAGTGCTAGTGCCTCCTCTAATTCCCCAACGTTTTTCTTTCTTCCCATAATACCTCCCTCTTTCCCCAGTTTTGAAACTCTCTGTAAGACAGAAGAGATTTGTTTTACTTGTCTTCCACTTGTGTCCACACTAATTTACATGGAAAACATTAAATTGTATACATATAAGTGATTCTTAAAATACAGAAGATACTTAAATACATTTGGTGTTTTGAACTAATGCTTATGTGTGACTAGACTATGTTTTATAATTACATTAAAGATCATACATCCTTTGGGGCTGATAGAACAAGAAGAGTAAACACAAATACTACAAAACTACTCCAGCTAATCCTAATAATATTTATACCTCTTAGGGTCAAAGTGCAGAGCTAAGAGTTTAAATGTCACCCGATGATGATAACAATGATATTATATGCCAATATTCTTTCTTTCTTTCTTTCTTTCTTTCTTTCTTTCTTTCTTTCTTTCTTTCTTTCTTTCTTTCTTTCTTTCTTTCTTTCTTTCTTTCTTTCTTTCCTACATTCAACAACTATGGACTAGGCATTGAGCTAAAAGTTAGTGATCCAAAAACATATCAACCAGGACACCTCCAGTCAAGAATTTATGTATGTATATGTGACCAGAAAAACATAAAAGAAAACAGAAATTCAACAATGGAAATGCACACAGGTGTTGTGAAAACACTTACCCCACCCTGGAGGGAATTAGGGAAAACTCCCTGGAAGACATCAAAGGCAGTTTCATTAAAAGTGTGGATTCCTAAAACAGAGGAAGAACTAAGTATTACTTATCCTTACCTAACAGGTTGGAGGATTGTACACATCTATTTACTATTCAAATCTGGCAAGATTTCTGGGTTAAATTTTAAAAAGCTATGAAACAGAATTAATTTTTGTTTTCTGTCATCACAGGTAAACACCATTGTATAAATTTATGTCTAGTATTCCTTTTTCTCTACAATGGATCAAGAAAAAAGAGGAAAACTAAAACAAAAAAATTGCAAGAAATGTAACAAGTTTGCCTTTGCTGCTGTGCCCCAGTGGATTTAATGTTGGCTCATGCATCAGAGTCACTGGTTTGATTCCAGTCTAGGACACATGCCTAAATTGCAGGCCAGGTCCCCCAGTAGGGGGCGCATGAAAGGCAACCACACATTGATGTTTCCCTCCCTTTCTTTCCTCCTTCTTTCCCCCCTCTCTAAAATAGATAAATAAAATCTTTAAAATGAAATAAAAATGTAAAAAAGAAGAAATGTAACGTAGTCTTTTCTTATCCATTTCAGAAATAAAGTTTGCCAGATGATCATAGAATCTTAGCACCAGCAGTGGCTTTGTGAAAGGTCTTTTTGTCCACCTCTCTGGTTTTAGAGAGAAGACAGAGTCCCAAATAGTGAGCAACCTTGCCTTTTCCCTCCAACACAGATAAGGCTTCCTCCATGTTGGGGTTCCTCACTGTTTACATTATAGGTGGGATATAGAATATCAGAAAACTTGCAGGTGCTGGTTATTACACCAACTTTTCAAGAAACAATCAAATGAAAAGGACTTTCTAATTACAGATAACTATAATTGATATGTTTTCTTTTAAATAATTTGAGTTGCCTCCCGACCATTTATAGTTAAAGAAAGAGCTGTTTTGAAAATGTGCTTAGTCCCTGTCTGAACCAAGGAAGCACAAAGTTTTAGAGTGATTGAGAAAAACTGGACAAAATAGAAAATTGCTATGATATTATAGAGTATATTACCAATACCCAGAGGGGCAGAAAACCTAAATTGTGAAATTCAATGCGACCTTGATTTCTTCATCCGCTACATAAAAAGAGTCAACCCAGCAAATCCCAGGCTTCCTTCCAGCTTTCAGCCATTCAAACAGCTTGAACCAAGAAGCTCTCTCCATAAACTCCATTCACAGCACTAACAGTTTCTTCCACCGCTCTCATTGCCCCATAGAGTCTTCCTAATGCACATTAGAAGCCCATAATGGACCATAAACCTCCAACAGTCAAATGGCAGCTTTGTACTTTCTATTTTAATATTATTTATAATCTTTTAGTTAACTTATTATAGATAAAGGTTCTATTTAAATGTGGTCAAGAGGTAAATGATTATCTTTTATGAAAATACTAGTGTCTTCCTTCTATAATACTGCCTAGTATTATTTGGACTGATATTTTAGAAATAGAATAATTAAACATGATTGTTTCTCGTTTTAGAGTGTTGAAGAAGAATTAAGCTCTTGGATTCTATTTGAGTCAACATTTAGGATTAGTTATTTCTCAGAAGATGAGAGGGTTGTGGGGAGGTGATATTCCAACATCTAAACATTTTAAATGAAAAACATGTATATATATTCACATGTGTATCATCCCTGAGTATGTATGTATATTTCCCCCTGATGCATGATCTCAGTAAAATATCAGAGAGAAAAAAATATCAGACATACATAGCATAGCAATCAAGGGCTAATGAAGATCCAGGTATTAAATCAATTAAGAAGTATCAAAAGCTACCTAATCATCAAGGAACAAAATTGGCACCACAATATATAGTGAGTATGGGAAAGCCTAATTTACTAAACATACCCTGCAGTCACATAATTGCATGTAATTTTACCAGCATAATTAACTAATTTAATTACCACTTCTCAAGTGCATCAATTATTGACATTACAGAGTTTTCAGACAGCAGAATTACTGTGTGGTACATCCAGAGAATGCAAAATGCTTTGTACGCCTCTTTTCCAAGTCACAGTCAACTACGGAAGAAGAATATGGAGCTGGAGGGGGAAAATTCCTATCCTCGAAGGCTCAGTGGGGCCAGGTTTAAAGGATGGAGTACCACAAATGTGTGGGGCACGAGGCAGAGAAGGGGAGGAAGCCCCAAGACTATGCTCTTCGAAGCAGTTCTTTGCCAGGGTGCAGACAAAATGTGCAAAGCCCAGCCAGGGAAAGAAATAAAAGGCTCTCATATGTTTTTTTTAAAAAGCTATGCAACGCCAATTCAAAATGTGCCTAAGAATACTTGCAGGAAAGAAAGGAAATAAGAAGTTTGACCAAACATTTTATTAAAGAACTGAAACTTCCTTTGAGAACAAGGTTTTTCTAGTTCATATCATTCTTTTTTAATGTAACTGTTTCTAAAACATTCAATGACTGCTTGAGCTTTTCAGGTCAGAGAGATGTGGTAGTCCACTCAAGGATGGAGCACAGCTTCATGACTGTTTAAACAATGACAGGCAACATCAGTCGATATTGTTCTTATGTCACATAATTTGTGACCACTGATGGCTAAAACTCCTGGGAGCCTGGGTTTGATTTTGTGCTTCTTTTCACGTCAGCTCTTGCACCTGACCTTTGCAGTTGCATCGTCACATCCAGAGGTGGCTGAACGGGGGAACAGTGTTCCCATTACTCGGATATTTTAATGAGACGAGTTAATATGGACTAAAGGGCGTGACACCAGCACATGCGTCTCACTATTTGAGTCCTTAAACATCTACACTGTCTTTAGATTTATTTAAACTGGAATTTTATGTCCTTTATTGACTCTAGAATAAGAAAGGAGGTCTTTATCACTTCTGTCTTTAGAAGTTTACTATCACATCACTTTCTTTTTAAAGATTTTATTTTTTATTTCTTTAGAGGGGAAGGGAAGGATAGAGGGAGAGAAACATCAATGTTTGGTTGCCTTTTGTGCGTCCCCTGCTGGGAACTGGCCTGCAGGGGACTGGCCTGCAACCCAGACATGTGCCCTGACTGGGAATCGAACCGAGATCTGGTGGTTCGCAGGCCCGCACTCAATCCACTGAGCTACACCAGCCAGGGCCTATCACATCACTTTTAAGTGATTTAGGCAATTCAGGAATTAACACTAAAAAAAAGAAAATATGTTTTCGCACATATGGTTGAAAATCAGATTACCGTCTCAAGATCTGAATCTTGTATTGGGGGAAAACTTGCAGAGACTGAGAATAAGTACCGGCAAATTAATTGGGATGTACATTACAAAGAGTTTGTTTCTGTGAATCATATTTATTTACCTTATAGAATAAACATATTGGAACTGAGAGTTGGAGACCTAGAATTATTACCTAATTCTTGGTGTGCATCATTAAGCAGAGCAAAGTTGTTCAGTTCATGACGTTTCCTTTGAAACTTTCAGCAGTCTTCATTCCATATTTTCTACATAACGTTTCCCCCACTGCCTTTCAAAGACTAAATTCTGCTCCTACCCTCTATCTTAAAGTGGCTTAAATTTAAGTCAATGTATTATCTCTCATGGGGTATTTAATGTAAATTCTTTATGATTTTCTGTGTAATGTGTTAGATCTTTAAAAATTATTGCAACACTTTGATATTATTTCTAGAATCAATAATCAAGTGAGAAACGGTATTTGGGGGGCCAGAAGGAATTGGTAGAAAGCAGGGCTCCCCTGTGTTCCTACCACCACAACAGACTAGCAGCTCTCCTCTTCCTCTAAAAAGTCTGCTTCTAGTATTGACACACAGTCTTGTAAACCAAGTCAACTCAATTTTTCATTTCTCTATGAAATATATTAATATAGTCCAAAGAAGAGGCAATGAAATATGATCTGCCTTGGAAAAAGCCTTTTCATATCAGGAATGCCTATTATGAGAAATTTGTAAACTTAAGCGTAAGCCTCTGTCAAGAGGAAACCCCTATTAATTGGGCCTTAAATTAACGTCAGTCCCTAGTTCACTCAAACTATTGATATGTATTCTTTGATTCTTGATACCCTTACCACATATATTGTACTGTCTGCAGCATGGATCTACATGGGCAATGGTTCAGGAAGACCAGTAAAAAGGGAGACATCATTTTAATTAGCTGGTGCTAAAATAAGTCAGTTAGAACAAAAATACCTTTTACCTTCAACAAGAAAAAATATGTTACAGAAATAAGGACCATATAGAAAGATGTAATATACTCTATGGCTAGAAAAATATGTGTAAAGCATATTCCTTCCAATGGCACTCATACTCTGGCAAGGCATTCAGAGACAATGTGAATAAGAATAATACAAAAAAATGAGTCAATTTGCTTTAATAACTCAGCAGGAGACAGAACTGTTAGGAAGGGTCTCCAGAGATGCCTTCATGGGGGACATCTCAAAGGAAGCATAGAATTTAATACAGAGAGGTAAGACAGGGGAGTGGGACAATTGTAGGAAATGCCATGATAAAAAGTAGAGATGGAAAGCTTGTGAGAAAATGGGCAGTATTCAAGTGGCCTAAAGCACGATGGCCACATACAAAATCAAGAAAGCAGTGAGGTGAAGAGAAGGAAACGTAAGGGGCATTGAGATCTGGAAGCTCTAGTCCCATCCCTCCTACTAACAGTCATGAGGTTCAAAAAAGCTACTCCATCTTTCCAGATGTAAAATGAACAGGTTTTAGTAGGATGATCCCTATTATGCTTCCTGGGTCTACACAAATCTTACGAGTTGAAATTGAAATTTTCTATTTTTCATGCTTATAAATACTTCTAGTTTTTTTTCATTGTTGGCACACTGTCCTGGTATTCTTTATACCTAACTGTAATCTATTTCTCCTGCTGGATCAATTCATTTTATACCAATCAGACTTACAATAACACTGTCAACCACATTTCTGAGATAATTCCCCAAAGAGGATACCCAAATAACGGTCAGCTGAATTAAAGATGCCTGTGGATTGTTTTGGTCATCTAGCTTCTTTTTTTTCTTCTAATGCTTTTCAAACAAGTAGTTTGTCTATCTGA